GGTAAGGGAATCACCGATTGGCATGTCCTTTAGCCAATCAGGAAATGTCACAGACCTATTGAAGGATGTGGGTACATGTTGTTTAATTCTATCCTGCAGTCTTTGTAAAGTGCAATCTATGTACCGACCACTCACATTCCTGCTCAGTTTTAAAAATTGCAAATGAATGTTTCGTCTACATAGCGGAAATAAACGGCAGGTCTGGTAACTTTGTTAAATAGTTCTTTTTCATGGAAACCAACGAAAATATTGGCTAAGGCAGGTCCAAGAGGAGAACCCATAGTGACTCCGTCAATCTGTTGATACATGATATCATTAAAGCTGAATTCCACCGAATGTGTTGTAGTATTCATCAGTTCAATAAACAGGTCCTTAGGTATTGGAGGGCACTGAACTTCACCATACAAAGTATCTGCACAAATTTTGATGTTTCTTCTTGCAGGATAGAATTAAACAACATGTACTCATATCCATAAGAACTAAGAGCATGAAAGTAAAGAATTTACCATGTCACTCTTGTAAAACAAAAGTTCTACCACCAAAATGTGAATCAGCAATTGGCCAACATTTACTAGTGAACTCGACTTGTGCTGACAACTACATGGATAGCATGTTTTAAATTATGACAAATGGTTGGTCAATCTTTCATCTCTCTATTTTGGGAGCCACCTTTATTAAAACACATAAACCTGTTCTTTGCTGCCAAAAAGAATCCCTATACAATCTACTATGACTCTCTTAAGGTAGCCAAATGCCTCGTCATCTAATTAGTGATGCACATGAATGGATTAACGAGATTCCCACTGTCCCTATCTACTATCTAGCGAAACCACAGCCAAGGGAACGGGCTTGGAAAAATCAGCTTGGCTGTGGTTTCGCTAAAAATGACTACGAAACAGATGAAGGTGAACATTCCCTATTTTAGCGAATGATTAACAAAAGTAAAACATACTAACTTGAAACTCTTTATAATCTAAATTCAAAATACAAAAGAAATGTATTATAAATAATAAAAATATAAACACAAAATTAAACAATCCTTTACTAATGGTGGAAATATAGATACATAAGACACTCTTTCCAGGACATTGAAAAAGACCTATGATAACCATCAATATTAATGAAAAGAACTACACATTAATACATTAAATATTTTAAAGGAGATAAGTACAACACAGAACAAAATAAAATCTTTGATAATTGTATAATGAAAGAAAATGTTACTTTAAACATAATAACCCTGTAATCATATAAGAAAAAACTGCACACACACATAAAAAGAAGAAATTCACAATAACCACAAGCATTACATCATGTCAAAACAATAACTCATATCACATGCATCACTAGTGGATGGATGCCATAATAAATGATTCGGGAGATTTGAGAAAAACAACTGAAAGGCCTAAATCTAGTGTGGGTTCTCTTTGCTATGAATGAATTTGAAGTGTATTCAGCTCTGATCATAGATTCATGTGACCTATAGCACTTCTATGACCAGTTATAAGCACAGGAAGCTGTGCAGTATCATTGTAATTAATTACTTAGCAGAGTTTCTCAATCTATGTTATAGCTAGTGGTCCCCAGAGCTTTTGTTTGTTGAATTTCAATTGAGGGCTAACTACATTAAACATTACTAATTTAGAAGTGATAGAAAAGAGGGAAGACAGCTAGTCAACACCACCTACCACCAACTCTTGGGATACTTTTATCGAATACTGGAATTGGCTGTCACACTATAAGCTCCCATGGCTGACAGGGAGAGCATGTTTGGTGATGGGATTTGAATTTGTGACCTGCAAATTGTGAATTGGATACCTTAAAGCTCTGGGAAAGTCTGTAATGACCTAATGGTTGGAGTGCATAACACAAAGACTGGAGAGTACCAAGGTGTTACACCTACTTACATGCACAGGCAGATAAGTATCTTCTTCTGCTTTCTCATCAGTTTAACTAAGACAATATGAAAGAGCACCCTTGTCATCTCCAACTCATCAACCTTAATCTCTAATTCATGACTAAGCCAATGCATGAGAGGTTTGTCAATGAACTGTACATGCTTACACATGAGCACTATATCTCATGCTTCTATCAGAGTACTAAATATGAAACTATGGACCAGATCTTAGTTGGTTTTATGCCACTGGCAAATACCTAAGTGATATTTATTCTCTATGTTGGAATTGACATTCTTTCACTGTTTTGTCATAACGTAACTTTTGCCCTACAGCAGCCTTTCCCAAGTGCTGGCATATAAATTAATGTTTATTGGTCAATGCCGTCACTCCACATATGCCCATGAATAATATGGCACATCCACTGAAGGGAGAACCATACATCGCATCTACAGAGACCAGTATTTCTCAACAAAACAAAAGTATTGTTACGCCTCCAGTTGTTAGTTGATTTTCCGTAACTTCGTTCTGACGAAACTTTAGTGACACAAGTCCTTACTTAATAAAACTGGTTTATTCTTTCCGAATACAACTTTACGATACACTTATTTTCAACAGTCGCGCTATAACAAATGCTACAACAACGAATGTTAACTTCAACAATACTTTCTGACTGTA